TGCTGGGAATTGTGTCAGACCCTCCTGTGTTGGGGTGGGAGACACAAAGGTGAGTGAAGCAAAGCCCCTGCCCTCCAGGAGTGTGCACACTTGTGACATATACTTACATTCTGGTGTCATGTCCTAACATATATCCCGAATATTTCAGCCGATTAAAGTGAATGTGATACAAGCCATTGAGTATTGCAGAGGCTGTGGAAATGCAGAGAAGAACCATTCAGAAGGGTCTTGAAGGATGAGTAAGAGTTGGTCTAGTGAAACACAAACAACAATAGAGTAATATGAAAGTTGGAGGTGTTGGTAAGGGATCACACCACTAAAGATCTTACATGACAAGCTATAGGCTTTGGAGTTTTTTCTGTAGGGAACCTATGACTGGGTTTTTAAGCAGAAAAGGTACAAAGAGGACACGGGGCAGTGTGAGGACGGCCGGACCTAAGGGTAGGCTGCAAGGTGGAGCAAGGAGATCACCAACATCAGATTCTTACAACAATCCCAGTGAGAGGTGATGACGCCCTGAACTAGGACAACATGCAGAGAGCATAGCGCAGGCTCAGGAATGAGCAGAGCTTCATGACTAAACGGATGGGGCAGGTTAAGAGAGAGGCTGAGCGTCTGGCTCAGATGGTTGAGTGCACGGTGATGCTCTTCATGGGAGTTTGAGGGGGACTATGAATTCGATCTGAGACATGCCCGGTTTGTCCCCATTCACCGTCCAAAGAGAGGGTGTCCAGTCTGTAACTCACAGCCACCAATATGCATTTGGGAGAGTCATCAAGAACCAAGGAAGTAGAACCATGAGAACATGAGACCTTCCAGAAAGAGAAGGCAGAGAAAGAAGAGCAGTGGACCCAGGACCAGAGGTCTGGTGGAGACTACAAAGGGAACACTGGGACGGGCGGGAGGAAACCCAGGTAGGGCCTGGCCATTTCGTGGCGGCCGAGGGCAGGGAGCGGTCTTGGTTAAAGATCATATCTTTAATGATGTGGTTTCCCTCCCATCACCTCCAGCCTTTATGACCTTATTCTATTGTTGTTTGTGTTTTATTAGACCAACTCCTACTCATCCTTCAAGACTCTTCAGCATTATGAGGTTGGTCAACAGTACCAACAGCATCAGAGAAAGGGACTGAGGAACTAAAAACAATGGGATGAAATTGAGGATGTATACAGCAACCTAGGGTACTTTTTCAAGAAACCGTGCTTAAAAAGAAGGAGATACACCTGATGAGAACAAGACAGAGACTTGAACAAGACTATGGGCTGTGGCTAAAGAACTGGTAGAATGTGGATCTAACTGAAGGCTCTAGGTCCCTGAGGAGAGAGGAGGGCTGAGATTAGGGTTCTGGGTGGAGAAAGGCCAGCCTGGAATGGAACAAGGGGTCCTGACCCTCTGAGATTCCCACAGTAAGTACTTAAGGAACCTTTTTGTCTAGGGCAAAAAGGAGTCTCTCAATGACACAGAGAGATATATACATAAATACATGCAGATAAAATACCATACAATCTTTCTTTAATTCCTAATATTATTATAGATCCAGAGATGTCAAAAGAATGGCCATGCCACACAAAACGGGCAAAGCCACACCTCACACTGCCAGGCCTCTTGTCACAGTGTCCCAGGGCAGCAGGCTGCTTTCTCATGCACTGTGGGCTTTGACAACTCCCCTCTCTGGAAACTTCCTCCCCTTCACACTTTGTTTCTCTGGGAGTGAAATAAATGGGTTGGATTAAAATCACAGGCAACAATGTATATGTCCATCAACAGATGAGTTGGTACGCAAACTGCAGAGCTGTATACAGCGAAATACGACACAGCAGTAAAAAGGCACGAATCATTGATATACGTGGAAGCATGTATGAACCTCCAAATAATTATTCTGGATTTTAAAAACAAAAAGCCAGACACACACAACCCAAAAAAAGAGTACATACTATATGATTCCATTTATATAAAATTCTACAAAATGCAAACTAATCTGTAGTGACAAGCAGATCGGTTGTTGCTTAGGAATTAGGGGGGTTGGCCAAGGAGAGGGTGGGAAGGAGAGATTGATTGCAAAGGGACACAAAGAAATTTGGGGGCACAAATCATGTTCATTATCTTGATTGTGGTAATGGTTTCACAGGTGTATACACGTGTCAAAACTTAACAAATTGTATACTTCCTATGCCCTTTATTGTATGTCAACTATACCACAATAAAGATGTGAAAACATAATCACAGAAGTGACTTCCAAGTGACTTCCAACTCCACTTTTTTTCATGACTCCTCTTTGATCCCTTTACTGAACTCCTTTGCAGAAATGTCATTAGCCCCAAGCAGATATTCTCCTGATCTTAAAAGGCACCAATCCTGGTTTTTCCAAATAAAAATAAGACAGGAAAGTTCTAAGTAACCCTCTTTATAATAAAGAATATAGTGCTTCACTCTCCTCCCAAGCTCACGAAAATCTTACTGGGATCAAACGTCCTGAAAGAAGACCTCTGTCCTCTGGCTTAGGGCATAAAGAAAACTCAAAAAAATATCCAGCAACTTCCAATCTTGTGATATAAATAAATGAACTAAAGCCCAAGATTTTAAAAGTTGCCCAGTTCCTTTGGGCTGACCCAGTTATTAATAAAAAGGGCTGCAATTCTGAAAGAAGTGGTCTCTCTTTGGAGTGGCACTCTCACCAACAATTAGCTTGATAAGAGGACAAAACAAACAGCAATCCAGAGGTAGGGAGATGTGGATGGCTGGCGTGGGAGCATTTTTTAATCCTGCTTCAACCAACAGCTGTACAATGAACTGGCCCAATTCAAAGTTTTGCAATTTTTGACCACTGGTCTACATTCTTGAGAGGTTACATATGAAATAAATGTTGGTGATTTTCTGTGTGCGTGCGTGTGTGCGTGCATGCGTGTGTGTGTGTGTGTGTGTGTGTGTGTGTGTGTGTGTGTGTGTGTGTGTGTTTAATTGAACCACCATTTACTGTACTGAAGAAAAGAGACTTGGGATCACTTGAATTCTGCCTTCGCAATTTACAAGCTTTGTGGTTTGGGGGCAATCCCATCTCTACACTTCGACTTCCTCCTCTAATACAATGGAGCTGAACTCAAAGAGCTGACCTCAAGACTACATAAAATGAGAAAAGCATAGGACCTGGTACATGAAAAGCACTCAGAAATGCTTTATGAAATTTGCACTGTAAATATCTATTTAGGTATAATTTCAGAGTCCCTTATCGCATCTTCTGATAAGCTTTTGTTTGGTTGTTACTCAATACCACATAGCTTTAAGCTTATCCTGCTGTCACGTTAATAATCCAAACCCGCAAACAGGCAAGAACACATTTAAGGGAATCTTGTATTTAAAACAACAGCGAACACTTACTAAGATGAGCCAACACTTACTCAAATGTACCCAACGTTGCATGTGCTCTTCTCGGTCTGTCCTTGAATCCTCACAACTTTCCTCTCAGCCTCATATTAATATTACCCCCATTTTATAGATGAAGAAACTGAGGCACAGATAGATTAAGTCACTTTCCCAAGGTCACACAGCTAATAAGAGGCAGGGAGTGGGGTGGGAGGCAGAAATGGTAGCCAGGCAGTCTGACTTGGAGATTCTGAGATTAGCCCCTACTCTGTAATCCAAGTACTTCCAAAATGCCCAGAGCAAACCTGTGATGAATCGCGAGTGAATCCCCAAAGCAGACATGCCTAGAGGACCTACACTTTCCTTTCCCTGTGTCTTAGATCTATAACCCACCAGCTTGCCGTCTTCCCCGTGTAAAAGTTTTTCATGGACTGAAGGCTGTAATTGGGTGGGACTCTGATCAGCTTTCTCTTCTGCAAACAAAATAACTTAGGTGGCAGAATTAGAAATACACCCCCCACGCGATGCTAAGGAACTGGGGAGGCAGTGGACAACGTGGGGCCCTCAGGCACGAAGTCTGGATCCTGGTGCGGCTCCACTAAGCCTTAGGTCTGCGTTTACCGAGCACCTAAGCACCGGATGCTGAAGGGAAGACGCAGTCCCCGCGCTCAGAAGACAGAGAAGGACGCAAGCCGAGGGTGCCGGCACAGAAGAAAGTGCAAAGAAGCTTTCATTGTCGTTACCCTGCCACCTCCCTGGATTTAAGATTTTGCTCACTGAAATTGGGATAACACCTTCTTAACCCACATTATGCTGCTGTGGGGACCTCAAGCGCCAAAGCTCCTAGAACAGCATAAAGGGCTGTTCAAAGTAGGAACTGTTGATTCGCGACGCAATCTGCGCCTTTCAAAGCTTTGTTTTATCCTGCGGGGCTGCAGGAAAGCGACGAGCAGAGGGCTACAAGAGCTGCAGATCGCTGGTAAGCGATCTGAAAAAAATAGAACAGCTTGACCTCACTTGGAAAGGAATTCGGAGCAAACTCCAAAGCCAAAACCTCGGAAGGTGAAACCCGCGGTCTCGGCCCCTCGCGTCCTCCCCGGGCTCACTGCCCAGGCGCTCCGCACCGCCCCCACCCCGAAACCCCAGACTGAGGTCCCTACCGCCAGGACCTAATCGCGGGCGGCCACTAGCGGCCACTGCGAGCACTGGCCGCTCGGAGCTCTGGGGCGGGGCTGAGGGAGGGGGTGTGGTGTTCTCGCGGGAACTAAGTGCGTCATCGAAGCGACGGGCCGGAAGGAAGTAGCGTGCTGAGGGGTGTGGCAGTTTCTACGGTTGCACGGGGGTTCGGACGAGTACGGAGCGCCTGGAGGGACAGCTGGGTACGCGGCCCCCGCCCTTGAGCGCGCGCGTTGGGCCTACCTTTGACTTCGGGCCGGAGCAGATCAGCCATTCTCCCAGGCTTCTGGCCCGGCAGGCACCCCCGTCAGGAGCGAAAGAGCAGCCTCTTTCTGTCCCGCCCTCTGCCCGCGAGCACAGAGGAACCGAGCGGAGGTCCCCTACCCAGGGTTGTTGGGACGCGCGACCCTCGCTCGGAAGAGAGCAGGGAAGGAGCGCGAGGTGGGGCGGGCGTGACATCGGGGAGGGAAGGGCATTTGCAGAAAGGACGCGGCTGCCGATCGGTAGCTGGAGGCCGCCTCGGTAAAATAGGCGCCTCGCCGACGTCCGCGCCCGAGTTGTGTTATCCGGGCGTCAGAGTCCACGCCCGGCGCGGGTGGGCCGAGGCACGCCCGACTACGAGCTTTGCCGTCAGTTAGCCTAGTTTTTCCGGATGATTCAGTGTTCAGGGAATGAGTCTCAGATGCCCGCTTTTGCGCGTTCTGGTGCCTGAACGCGGTGACACCCAGGAGCCCAGTCTTCCCAGCCCGGGAACCCCCTTTCTCCTCTAACCACGCTCTGTGGACCTGTGAGGCGTGCGGGAGGGAGTATGGCTTCGGTCTGGTTCAGAGCTCTCTCCCGTTTAGGGCCAAAGGAATAACGGGGAAGGTGGACAAAAGGCCAGAGAATCCCACCAGGAAACTTGGTCGCATGATGTCTGTCACTCCAGTATCTGAAAGGAGTAAATAACGGTTTCCTTTGAAATGGCAGGCAATTAGGACTGGGAGGCTCTGACCAGAATTACATAGCCACAACTGCCTGTCATTTGGACATCCTCTGTAATTTGGGCCAACACACTGCAGCTGCCTCTCTTCCCTCTTACCAGCATGAGTGGCTCCAGTGACAGCATATTCGCGTTCACAGGAAGAGAAGGCTGTGTTCTGACCGCTCCCGAATTGGCCCTGGTTCTCCCGCAGGCCCCAGCTGTATCAGGAGCCACAGCCTCTTCCATGAGGTGGGGAACATAGTTCCTCAGCTAAGGAATAGGAATGTTGCCTGAGACCAAGGGTGAAGAAGGTGCAGATGCTGTGTTCATCCTACAAGAGGCTGGATAGGAGCCACGTTCAGGGATCCCAGCGTGGTGAGGTACTCTGGCTGTCACAGCTTTTCTGCACGTCAGCCCACACACATTTTCCCGAATCTTTTCTCTAGGATACCGCTCACGGATGGCTCCGCTGGGAGCAGTTGTGGCTGTAACTGCCAGTTTCTTTTGTGCATCTCTCTTCTCGGCTGTGCACAAGATAGAAGAGGGCCATATTGGGGTATATTACAGGTAAGGCAGAGACAGGGAGAAGCTTACAACTGCCTGCTAAGTGCCTTTTTCCTAGTCACTGTCTAGCTGATTCTGCAGAATAGCTATGTTTTTATTTTGTTGAAGGGGAGTCTTTCAGATTGAACTTTTGTGTCCTTGATCATTGGGAATGGAATACACACACACATATATAAATGTAAATATAAAACTTAGTAGTCTAAATCGATCCATGAGTGGTGATTGATAAATGCATGTAGAGAGAGACAAAAACCTAAAGGAAACCAGTGCTTCTTGCACACCATCTCAGAAACAACAGTTGAAGTACCCATTCTTCATGGCAACTTGAGGAGGTAGCCTGCTCTGCTAGTTTGGACCTACTCTTTAAATTTAACATTTCAGAAAAAATGAAAGAGCCTGCAGGTTGATTTATATCAATCAAGGCAGGTCCTCCAATAGTGGTTCTTACTAGGAGCCCATTATGTCACTGTTTATTGCATTGCTCTTTTTTTTCCTAGTGTCTTTGACTTCATAGTGGAAAGCAAAGAGGCACTTATAAATCTTGGATTGTTTTCCTTTTGGTAACCTGTGTAACCAGTATTTTTGCTTTGATTCTTTATGAACCCCCTTCTTTTATGTGCCCTATGATGCTTATTTCTGGGTTGCTAATAGAAAGTTCTGAAAGTTTGATTAGGTTCTCCTCTCTCCTTTAATTATTTCCTCCACCATCTGCTTATATGGCCCCAAAAAAGGGCTTTTAAATATGTTATCTATGTAAATAACTTGACTAGAAAGGTAACTGTGCTACCCCAAAAATGTATTTCAGTGACTTACAAAGCATACTTAAAATCATGCTTTTGGTTGTTCATATCACTGAACTCCGGCATTAGTGCAGTTAATTGATAACTGTCTTACCGGACTGAACTGCCCTAATGGATGACCACACTCAGGATCACTCAGAGTAAGACAGACTTCTCAAGTAGAGCCAGGGATTCGGCTGTCTTTATTCCACCTAGCCTATGTGCCTGTTTTTCTCCCTGAAAAAGCATGAATAATGGTTTTATGTGTTACCATTTGACTTCCTAGAGTATTAGGGTTGAGCTGAGGGAAGGAAAGGCTTGGTGGACGTGGATCTGGCACCTGTCCTTCTGTATTAACTGTATCTGGGGCCTAAGAAAAAGGCGATCCAAACAGCACTGAGGTGACATGTCCCGCTGTCGAGCTGACCACCCCTCTCTCCCTCTGCAGAGGCGGTGCACTGCTGACCTCCACCAGCGGCCCTGGTTTCCACCTCATGCTCCCTTTCATCACATCATATAAATCTGTACAGGTATCGCAGCTTGTGTGGTGCAGCTGGGTGTCTGCAGGTTTGGGGTGTTGGCTAATGGATGGTTTCAAATGATTTAGCCATGGAGTGAATATAATACCTTTTCAAGGAACTATTTAAGAACAAGTTTTATATATATGAAGAATGAGGTTCCATGAGCCATTTACTCTGGAACATTCCTGGGCTGTTGAAATAGCTGAATGGGGTCATGCCGTGGCCCGTCAGCCCCAATGGGGAATTATTTCTTCTCTTTAAGACAAAGCCAGAGAAGGATCTGTTCTGAACGTATAGAAGGAAAAGTAGGATGTGTGTACCTGTGTTTTAAATGACAGGCTACCGAGATGGGTGGAAATAAAACACGATAGTTTTGCTGGTTTTTCCTTGAACTTCAGAGATGTGAACATAATTTTGGGAAGGGAAGAGGAAAGTTGAACTTGGTGAAGGGAACTGACATCTAAAATAGGAGTAGGATTAGTTATGACAGATCTGAAGACTGGCTACATTAAACTAGCCGTCTTTGAAGTTCATCCAGCTAAGAGGAATAAGATTGAGAGAATGACTTTGAAACTGACCGAGGAAGATATCCTGGGACACCTCCTCAGCATTTTCCCTGTACGTCTCTTCTGCCACTTACTGCACTTTGTGGTTTTCAAAGTGCCTTCATGCACTTTCTCTCACTGGAGTCTCACAGTGATGCTGAGAGTGGGCTGAGCAGATATTACAGGCTGTTTCAAGACTAGTAAATGGAAGAGGTAAAAGGAAGGGCAGATCTTAGGCCCCCCAGTCCAGGGTCTTTTTCACGAAACCATTCCTACTCAGCTTGTTCACTTGCTGATCTGCTTACATTGACACCGGGGTAGGTACCTTCGCTTGGTTTTGTCTCACCCCCTGGAAGGAGGAGGCTTAGGTGGGGTGTTCATGTTTAACAGAGGCAAAGCACAGCCCAGGTACTATTGGAGGACAAGACCATCTGGGATTCTTCGTTTGTCATGCCCACCTTACAGCATGCTATGTTTCCTCCATTTCTAGACCACGCTGCAGACTGACGAGGTGAAGAATGTACCTTGTGGGACTAGGTAAGGTGTCCAGAATAAAGCTGTTAAGCCCAAGTAAGAGGGAGGAGTATCTGGCTGGCCGCAGTGAGAGACAGTGAAAAGGGAGGCATCCCTTCCTAAAGGTTTTACCAAGTCCCCTGGCCCCCTAGCTCCCTGTGTTCTGATTTGACTAGCGGGTGGATGCAGTGGAGAAAAACCACAGAAGGTAGACAGCTGTGGGAGGGCCCCGCATGCCATGCTAAGAACTTTGGACTTTTTCTGTTGTAAGTGAAGATCGGTTAAAGGCGTTTAGGAGATAAATGAGTTGATAGAGGAAGGTAACTTTAGCATAACCCACTATGGAGATGTCATAAAGGTAGGGAGAGACCTTAAGGACAGGAAATCCAGAGAACACCACTGTAGTGGTCCAGTTGAAAAATGAAGACTGTCTAAACTGGGATAGAGTAACAAAGTAAACACCACCACAGGGAAGCATTGGGGCAGATCCAGAATTGGGGCAGCCCACTGGAGAACTAGCCTTATCTCACCACAAAGTCCTATTTGAAGGGGCTTTGCATCAAAAAGGAGACTTAAAACACTAGTAATGCAATGGTGAACCCTCATTAGAACATGGTTCATAAATAACAGCTGTAAAAGGGGACTTTTTAAATGCTGTTAAAAATAACAGCATTATGGGAACTGTTCTCAGGCTGCCCTAACAGAATACCAACAACCGGGTGGCGTAAGCAACAGAAGCCTGTTTTCCTACAGTTGCAGAAGTTCAAAGTACAGCAAGCTTGGCCTCTAGTGAAGCCTCATCCTGCCTTGCTCATGGCCGGCTTCCATGCTGTGTCCACACGTGGCCTTTCCTTTGTGCCTGCAGCAAAAGTGAAAGCAATCTTGTGTCTTCTCCTTTTTTCCTTTCCCAGTTCAAGGATGAAGGCCCATATGATTTCATTTTGCCTTAATTATCTCCATGAAGGTCCCGTCTTCAAATGCAGTCTCATTGGGGGTTAGAGCTTCAACATGCAGATTTTGGAGGACATACAATTCAGTTCCAAAACAAGAACTGTGGGGAAAATTGGAGTAAGGATGGAGAACTAGCAGATGGGAGGGAATTACTGCTGATTTTCTTAGATTTGGGAGTGGGATTTGACTCTGTAGGAGAATGTCATAATTCATAGGTGACCAGTGCTTGCTATAGTGTTAAGGGTAAAGTATCATGACTGCGGCTTACTTTGAAATGTTCAGCAAAAAAAACAGTAGATCAACCAGTAAGGTAAAATGTTCACAATTGTTAAATTTAGGTGTTGGTATTATATGAGTGTTAGCTGTACTATTCTTTCAACTTTTCGATATGTTTGAATTTTTTTAATAATGAATGTTTGCGGGCAAAGGGAAGTGCAGAACTAAAGTGATGATAAAGACAAAGTGAGAAACAGTGACCATAAAATTGCACAGTGACCTTTAAGTCCTTAAAACTTGACCTTCCTTAGTCTTTTCCCTTCCACTGATTGCTTTAATCAAAAGGCATCATGGATTCAGAAGATATGAACTGTTCTTTTCTTAGTGGCACCCCAAAAGCTCCACTTTTTTCTTTGTGGAGATATTTTTTGGAGGTGTGATTTCTTGGGAGATCTCTTACTTGGAGATCCGGCATGCCTCGCAACGTCCCGTGAGCTGTTCTCCTTTCCTGCCAAGTCACACTCTTGTGCCATCACACACCTTGGGCCATCACCTAGGAGACTGCACTATGTACCAGAGCTTGTTAGTGACCACCTTGTCCGTTCTCCCTCCAATAGTGGTGGTGTGATGATCTACTTTGACAGAATTGAAGTGGTGAACTTCCTGGTCCCAAACGCAGGTATGTCCCTTTAGTCTGCCCTCACCACCACCGTGCCTTCCCCAGCATGCCACTCCAGGTCCGGGGCAGCACCTCAGGCACTGAGAGTTGCTGTGAAACGAGTCCTGCCTTTGCTTACCCCGAACTCCCTCCCTGCCCTCAGTGTACGATATAGTGAAGAACTATACTGCTGACTACGACAAGGCTCTCATCTTCAACAAGATCCACCATGAGCTGAACCAGTTCTGCAGCGTGCACACACTTCAGGAGGTCTACATTGAGCTCTTTGGTAAGAAAGCCGGTGCAGATCACAGCTTGCCTTAGCAGCCCCTCTCCCCACCCCCTGCACAGTAGGGTGGGGACTGGCAGTCAGGAAGTGTGACAGAATCCAGAGCTCAGGACCTGGTCACGAAGGGACACGCTCCTGGCACAAACCAGAGGACTTAAACATCACTCTCTAAGGAAGACAGCATCAGTTCTAGAACCTTAGAGATTATCCGGCCCATCATCCTCATTATAAGGTAAGGTACTGAGGCCAGAGAGAGAGCAGCAGAGCTGGTTGGTGGTACAGCGGAGGCTCCAGTCTCCCTCTCAGGGCTCTCGCCTGACAGTGCCTTCCACCCACCACCCCAAGTGCAGGGCACCCACAGAAGGCGGCTGGGAATGGCGGGTGCACATTTGCTTCCCAAAGTGGGACAGGAACCATAGCCACTTACAGTTCCTAAAACCTTTGTGGTGTTTTGGGAGTTTTTTTGTTTTCATACCCTATACCTGTAGAGATGAATAGGAAAACACTTTAAAAAGATCCACATGCTTAAGATACTTTGTCCTTTTTAGCTGATCCAACTCAGTGTAGCCTGATGTCAGCAGCAAAGGAAGGTGACATTTCAGCAGTTTTATAGCTCTTTCATGGTAAAGGGTTCTGTCTAAGCTTGCTGCCAGCTTTCTATAGCTGGTGCTAAAAGTGAGTGATGGTTCAGCTATTCTTCATACTAGGACTAGATTCCTGGTTTTCCCCAGGAATCTCCATAAAAAGGACTCTGAGTGAGAACATTTTAGATAGAGGAGGAATCATTGGTGTTGCCAATGATCTTAGTTAAGCAAACAGCCTTTCATACTGTGTATCAGATTTTAGAAATCATGAGAATCACTTTTAATTCTTCTGCATGAGAAAATGAACCTAAGTTCACTTTATAAGGTTTGGATTCTTTGGTTTGGATTCAGTATACTTTTTGAAAAACCAGGTACATTTGCTATTAAAATTTTTTAACCCCAAACTGTAGAATTTATAAAAAAGCATTCGTTTCTTGCTAGTTTCACTGTTTTAGAACTTGTATCATTAAATGAATATTTTGAAGCATTTGAAGAAACAAAAGACAAAGATCTCTACTTTCCAAGAAGAGAAACTTAAAATGTGAAATTGTTTAGTATTAGAAAACACCTTACTGTCTTAGAGGTAAACCTGATAGCTTAGTAAAGTACAGCTTCTTGTACAGAGGAGCTGGGAAAATGTATTTGCTTTGGAACTTTCTTCTTACAGTTCAGTCTTGTCAGCAAGTTCTGTTTTGCTCAGATCTAATTGTATCCATAAAAGAGAAGCTTGTGTCTCTAATCCCATTCCTCAAACACAGAAGGTTTTTCTCTTGTTCCCTCTTGGGACTCACAGCCCTGACTTCGAACAAGTCTGCAATTCTCACCACTGCTTACTCTGATGCAGCCTCTCTACCCATTTTATAAAAGTGGCATCTAATACTTGTTCACAAGTTGACCTGAAGAGCCTCTTTCTTCGTGTTTACTTAGTAATTTAACTTAATCAGCATTTATCAGCATAACTGTAATATATGAACAACTTATTACAGTCTCACTTAAGTAATAAATAACTCACCTAGCAAAATATTTCTCCCAGAGTTTCCTAGAGAGTTACTGACCCAAGCCACAGATTGCCACCTGGATTTAGACGTAATTTGGTCTGATAAATGACTGTGTCATCATTAACTTAAGGGGGGCACAGGCCATCTCAAAGTTTGGTTGGCATCCTATTTAAAATAGAAAATACGACATGTAATGTTTATGTGCCTCTGAAAAAAGCTGTGCTTGAGCACATCACTGAACCTCCACAGGCCTCTGTTTGGGTGTCTAGACTTGCCGTTTCTCATCGGCTCCTGTTTGGACACAGGTGACCAGGAATGGCTACCTAAAGCAGATGGCAGCTGACAGTGAGGGAGATGATTCCATCCAGATGGCCCGGCCTGGTTTGTGGAGTCCCTGTCCCGGGCCCTTCCAGGATCTTGTTGAGGAGCTTGTGGGCCGGAGAAAGCAGCCTTGATGCTGCTGTTCTGGGATCCCAGTCAGAGGGGGAATCAGTTATGGCTTTTCCTACACTGTCTGCGAAACGGCTCACAGTGAATTCCAGACAAAGGAATCAGGACTAAAGCAAACAACACATCAAAAAACTTGGGCTGGTTTCCAGAACTGTAAATTTTTACCTTCCTCTTATGTTATTTGATGGAGTTCCTAATGGAAATAGTCTTCCTTGCGGCTTTCTTTGACGTCAGAGTCTGTTTTTCTTTGAGAAACTTCTAAAATTACTGGATTTAATGTGTTTGGCTCTTTCTGAGATAACCTAACGTAGCCATTCCACCTTCCTTCTTCCTGAGAACTGGCTTCTGCTTTCTCTTGTTGCAGTTGCCTGAGGAAAGGCTGCTGCCTGACTCAAAAAATGGGCTAGAATTGTTGTTTGTTCTTTTTCTTTTTAAAGCCCCGTTCCCTTTTGGGTAAGGTTGATATTCTTAACAACCTGGGTGATTTTATCTTGAGGCCACAGGGGAAGGATACTGTGACATCAAGCTTTTGCAGAGGACATGTTGCTTTCAAAGTCTTGTAAGAGATCTCTAGATTTCTGGGCCCTGGTAAGCACTCCTCCTTGGAAAGACCTTTTACCAATCAGATGCATTCCTGAGCTGGTGTTTTAGCTTGTATTCCATCCCTGGAATTCCCTCCACCCCTGCCTAGAAAATGTAACAACTCCTTTTTCTGTCTTTCTTGATTCCAGATCAGATTGATGAAAATCTCAAACTGGCTTTGCAACAGGATCTGACCTCCATGGCTCCCGGGCTTGTCATCCAAGTAAGCATTGCTGTGGCAGGAGCCCCCTGAGGAAGGCGCATCCCCTCCTCCAGGGGATGTCCTTTTGTTCAGGGAGATCCAGGACCAGAGGGTGCTGTCCCTCACCACTATCCCCTTCCCATCAGGTACTATTTCTGTCCTCCTCCAGGCTGTGCGAGTGACAAAGCCCAATATACCTGAGGCGATCCGCAGAAACTACGAGTTGATGTGAGTTTACACTCTGCCTAAACGACCAGCACCACTCTTTCCCACCTCCTACCACACTGTACCCCAGAGCTAACCAAGGCTCTGCCAGGCTCTTAGTCCCCTTCTGGAGTATTTGTTACAGTCCAGTGCACTAGAAGATGGAGCAGGCGTGTAGCTGTGACTGAGCCCTGGGAAGAGCCCCTTGGAGCAGCAATGCTTTAAGAGGGCCAGGGAGCCTTGCTTGTGCTTTGTGGCTCATGCCCAGGAGGCCCAGAGGCCAGGGCGATTGAGCAGGCAGGCTGGCCCGTTTTATTGAAGTAAATTACAGGTTATTTTGGAGGAGAAGGAGAACCATGCCACTGTCTGCACCAGATCCCCTTTTACCTGGGACAGTGAGCAGCCTTCCAGGAGAGAGTAGGAAACCATAGTTGGCCCCTTCTCAGCAGGAGAGTTTGGCTTCTTCAGGGGACAGTGCAGTTCCTCAGAAGCTTTTCCACAGCAAGCCCACAGCCGCCCACTTTTTTCCCTTCCAGGGAAAGCGAGAAGACAAAGCTGCTCATTGCAGCGCAGAAGCAGAAGGTGGTGGAGAAGGAGGCCGAGACAGAGCGAAAGAAGGCCCTCATCGGTCTGACTGTGGTTCTGTGGCCCCCTTTCAGGGCAGCCAGGCTGGGGATGGGGGGAAGATGCGGGGAAGCCTCAGGCACAGTCAGACTCCGGCATCTTCCAGGCCCTTGCCACATGCAGGAGTGGCGTCTCTACTCCTGGAAGCAAAGCAGAAGCTGTCAGATCATGGCTAGGGAGAATGAGTTTTGAGTTTCCACATGCCACTTAAAGGAAAGGCGCCCTTCCTATTAATTCTTAGCTCATAGTAACAATGGCAAGCACTATGAGCCATGCACTTCCCTAAGCAGTAATGTGTGAATCATCTCACAGCTACCAAGGTGCGGCAGGCACTATCGTTAACTTCATTTGCTGAGCTGAAGCGCAGAGAAGTTAACAGCGTACCCGAGGTCACATGGCAAGTGATGGAAGTGGGCTTCACATCTAGGAACTCCGCTCCAAAACCTGGGTTCTCAACCACTACCCTAGAGTATTAACAGAAAACCCTTCCTAAAATGAAGGGGCAGGAGGAAACTTTCCAGAGCCTACATTACCTCTTAAAATACTCCTCTGGGAGAAATGCCCTTGTAACTAAGGAGAGAGCTTAGAGCTTTTCTTCACTTCTGTCAGAGGAGTGACTTCCCTTCCTTGGGCCTGGGTCTCCCCAGGTACTGTCCAGTGCTGAGGTGGTGGTACTGGCGCACCCATCCCTGCCCGTGTGCCTCCCAGGGCCGCCCTCTGGGGTGCCCTGCCTGAGCCTACCACCCTCATGCATCCGTGACTCCGAGCAGGTGAAAGGCAAGATTTAGTCAAACTTTTAAAGTAACAGAACTCTGAGCCTTTTCCTCAACTTCATTGACACAGAGGCGGAAAAAGTGGCTCAGGTTGCAGAAATCACCTATGGACAGAAGGTGATGGAGAAGGAGACTGAGAAGAAGATTTCAGAAATTGAAGGTGAGCCTGAGTTTTCCTCAGACCCCGCTCTGTGGAGAGTCACTTCCTTTGCTCTTTGATTTGGGTCCTAAGATAACAGGATTTCTTCAGAACATCACATTTTCTCTGTGCTTTGACTGGAGTTTTGGGGCGATTTGGGCCAGGCTGGCATCAGTTTTCTACTTCAGAGAGCATTCATTCATTCATTCATTCCACAAATGTTCATTGAGGGCCATTAGGTATGTGATGTTCAGCTTAAGAAAGGGGAATCTCATAGTCCTGCTACCTTGGAGGTCACGTTCTAGTGGGGGCCTCAGCCTTGGAAGTCACCTAAGCGGCTGGGCCAGAACAGCGCTCTCTCCCTAGAGCCTCGGAAGCCGGCAAATGTCATAGCCTGGCCTCTAGGAATGCCCTCAGGGTCCCTGGAGATAATAAGCCAAGCATGAAGAAGACGCCTATTCAGCACCAGCAGTGGAGCTGGGGAGAAGGGTTTCCTTTGCTGGCTTTTCTGAATATCACTCACCTTCAGTTCTGTGCCCCTTAAGCCCTCACCTCATTCCCATCACCTGCCTTTTCCTTCACATGGTGCCTTACATCAAGCAAATTCTAGGACAAAAATAGGACCTCAAGGTCCAGCTTCAGGCTACAAAGTTCCGTGTCCGCTTATACTCATGGGGCCTGTCAGGCTTTGCAGGGATCCATTGAGGAGCCAGCTAGGATTTCACAGATCAGTGGCTTCTCGTTAGGGAGCTCTTAGCAAAGAACACATTTTTATTTCTTATAAATACATGTCATCAGGTGCTAAGGCCAGCTGAGTTGGCCAGACTGCAGCCCCCTCACTCCCCCAGCAAAGAACCCACCCTCCATGCAGGCTTTTCTCTACAGGTAGTACTCACATGAGGCTGGCACATTCCCAAGGCCAGGAAGTAAATAGCAAAACTTGTGCATCGGCTTGACAGAAAGCCAGTCTCAGCAGATTAAGGAAATACACAGTTCGCCCAGTAGAAATTTAAACAGGTCTTAATCCAAACTTGTTCATCTAGACCGTAGCATATAATTCTCTTAGCATTGTGCCAGCTTAGCCACTTACACTTCATTAGAACCTTTTTGAAGTGATTGATAGAAATAAAAAGGAAAGGAAACTGAATAGGGACAGCTATTTGTATTTATGGTATTGGGTTTTAGGGTGGATCTGCCTCTGGCTGAATTCAGAGCCTTTTTTGGCATCTTCTTGCCTTTACCCTGTAGCACAGGAGGGAGGAGGTGACTGAGCTCTGAAACTGGAAACTGAAGCAGGGTCTCACCCCTTCTCCCAGACGTGAGTGACCAGAGGGGTAGCCTGGGGACCTGGGAGGCATCTCTGGACAGCAGTGCTTTGTTAGACGATAGTGTCAAAGAAGGTGCTGCACAGGCCTGGCAGCAGAATGGCCTCACTGGTGCCCACAGGGGTGCCAACGCAGTGCTTTGTCACCTCGGGTCATTTTCACAACTTGGGAAATAGGAAAAAGTGCCTTTCCCCATTTCATGGATGAGAAAACCAAAGCACAAAGGGAAAAGAGTCTCCCCGGGTCACAGAGGCCACCGGGGGGGAGTGACTCTGCACCTTGGCAAATAAGGTAAGGCCCAAGGCCGCCCGGGAGGGGAAGATGTATTTGGGTTTGGGCCAGTGCCATATGAGAGTTACCCGGGGTGGGTGACTCCTACCACCCAAAGCCCCTCGTGGCCAGACGTGGTGACTTTTGTTAGGGGGGTGATGAGTACCTCCCTCTTCCTAGCAGGGCCTCAACAGAAGATTATTTTTGTCTTAAACATGGAAACTCCTAAAACTAGTAGCTCTGAGCTTGATCTCTTAGTGCTTCATTCCTGATATAACAGGAGGCCAGGGACAGTAGAGAGGATACACTTCTTGGACAGAGCCTGTTCTGTGTGAGAAGTGAAGGGGTGCCCTGAAGCGTTCTCTGGCCAGGCTCCCCCAAGTCCTCTGCATTTTCTTGCCTACAGCTGAAGCTGACCCCTGAGTATCTGCAGCTGATGAAGTACAAGGCCATTGCCTCCAACAGCAAGATTTACTTTGGCAAAGACATCCCTGACATGTTTGTGGACTCCACAGGCACTCTGGGCAAGCAGTTTGAGGGGCTAACTGACAAGCTGAGTTTTGACTTAGAAGATGAGCCGCTGGAAGCAGACCCTGAGGAGAACTGAAGACTTTGTAAACAACCTCACATGACACTTAAAGAGATCTTTATTTTTTAATGATGAACCAAGATGCCTCTCTCTCCCCCACTACCTTCTGTGACTCTCCTCCACGTACTGTCATGAGAAAAGAAGAAATGGACCAAAATCGATTCCCCTTCCTGGGAAGAGGGGCAGGGTTTGATTATTGAGGGTTTTATTCAGGTAAGTGGGTTATATGACTTCTGTTAAGATTTGTAAATGGTGGAGTTGACCTTTGACCTCCAGACACTGATTTTAGCCCTTTGAAGCTGTGATAATTAGGGATTCCATCACTAAGGAGTGGGACAAATATAGTGTGTTGCCTCCAGGTGACTTGATTTCCCTTACTTGGGAAATACAGTCCAGTTTTCTCACCCCTGGCCTCCAAGTTGGGAGATGCTTTGTGGGTGAGGCTCAGCAGCTGAGCAAATGTGTTGGTCAGTTGGCCTCAGAGTTGTGGAGAAATGTCTGCAGGGGCCATTTGGCTTTCCTGGTGTTTTTGTCAGTGTGTACATGTTAGGTTACGGGCATGCTTTCTTGATTCCTCGGGGGGAGAACTGGTGCTAGGGTTTGCAAGCTTTTCTATACATTACCCTCCTTGTCCAGGGTTTAACGAGTGGTGCTTTCTCGACTAATTTCCAGAGTCAGGGTTTGGTCACCACCACACAATTCTTTCTAAATCTTTTCACCTATTCTGTGATTTGCTTTTTGCTTCTCCATCTGTTCTTTGGCTCCACTCAGCATCAAGAAGACAGGAAAAGCACTTCAAGCGTCTTAATAGCTGCTGAAGTGGGATCATTGTGTCTGTTAGCCACTGCGGTACCTGCTTGGCAATATGTATGTTCCTTGAGATTAAGTGTCTTTTGTTGTGGAGCTTCTACACTGAAGCCCTCCTCTAGAGGAGGAAGAAGGCTCATCTGAAATATTTCCAAGTCTTATCCCCATGGCTTGTGCTGGGAATTTGTCTCACACTGTGATAATAAGGGAGCCATTTGCTAAGTGACAAGTGTTTTTAAATCTGGGGTCGAGATGACCACAGTGAGATCGGACTGAATGTTAAATCTCCAGAGATAACTATGTAGGTGCAAGTCACAGACCATGCCCATGCCCATTCCGATGTTTTCTTACTCATTGCTGATGAGGAAAATTTTGAATCTCTCTGGGAGATATGGGATGGGGAAGAGCAAACATGAAAGAAAGGTTTTCTTATGTCCTGAAACTGGAATTGGGAGCATGGGGAGGAGCGAGTGGCAGCCTGTGTAGGCCATGATTCTGTTCCAGACTGAAGTGGAGGGCAGCTATCTGGAGCTAACCTGCAAGCATATTGGTGTCTCCATGACGAGCTCTGGGTTAGGATCTGGCCTTGTTATTAGCTTCCCCCTCCCAAAACTCCCACTGTACCCCTCTTCCCTCAGTGAAACTACAAATGATACATTCTGGCACAGGTCCCCACTCCTTTTGGGTCCCATACCCAGACTTGTGGTTTATCATATGGCCCCAGAAGTTGGGCCAGCTTGCTTCTGCATAGCACCAGGCTTGTGGGGAGTTTGGGGAGCATTCAGCCTGCTTAGGAAGAAACAAAACATTAACTCCTCTAAAACAAATGTTACCCTTCTCTGTTTCAATTCCTGGGACTAAGAATTCTCAAGCCACTGGTCCTGGTTCCCCTTTGTGCAAGCAGCCAGATGTTCCTGGGAGTGATGGATCTTAATGTGCTCAGAAGTCTTGCAGAAGTCTTGCAGAAGTCTCTCAAGACCAAAGTAGGATATCTATTATTAAGGCATACGCACCCTTCTCCTATTTCAGTGCCATTTTCCACTTGTTAAGAGCAACCTGGTATGTGACATCCAGCATCCCTGATTTACACATTTGTCTGCTCCCTCCCCTTTCCATAATTCTACTCTGAGATTTGCTGCCCAGGCCTCAGAAAACACTGCTTCAGTACAATGGCTTAAGAAGAAAGGGTATCTCAGCCTGTCTGAATAGATGGTTTTCTCAGGTTCTCAACTTGAAAGCTTCTCTAACACTAACACCCTGTGAAGGCCTATCCCTTGCAAAAAATACTTTGAGCACAAAAGAGTCTCAATACAGTAACGTCCTGCTGCACCTGCCTGCCCCGATGTCCATGTTGCTTCTTCTATTAAAAAAAAATGTAAATGTTGTAGTACCCATTAGTTATATGGTTGTCAGCTGTTTTCTCAGCATGGGGCGGCTAACCAGTCTGCCTCCGTGACTTTGTTTCTTTAACACTTACTAGAAAATCTTTATGTTCCTTGAGATTAAGTGTCTTCTGTTGTGGAGCTTCTACACTGAAGCCCTCCTCTAGAGGAGGAAGAAGGCTCATCTGAAATATTTCCAAGTCTTATCCCCATGGCTTGTGCTGGGAATTTGTCTCACACTGTGATAATAAGGGAGCCATTTGCTAAGTGACAAGTGTTTTTAAATCTGGGGTTGAGATGACCACAGTGAGATCGGACTGAATGTTAAATCTCCAGAGATAACTATGTAGGTGCAAGTCACAGACCATGCCCATGCCCATTCCGATGTTTTCTTACTCATTGCTGATGAGGAAAATTTTGAATCTCTCTGGGAGATATGGGATGGGGAAGAGCAAACATGAAAGAAAGGTTTTCTTATGTCCTGAAACTGGAATTGGGAGCATGGGGAGGAGCGAGTGGCAGCCTGTGTAGGCCATGATTCTGTTCCAGACTGAAGTGGAGGGCAGCTATCTGGAGCTAACCTGCAAGCATATTGGTGTCTCCATGACGAGCTCTGGGTTAGGATCTGGCCTTGTTATTAGCTTCCCCCTCCCAAAACTCCCACTGTACCCCTCTTCCCTCAGTGAAACTACAAATGATACATTCTGGCACAGGTCCCCACTCCTTTTGGGTCCCATACCCAGACTTGTGGTTTATCATATGGCCCCAGAAGTTGGGCCAGCTTGCTTCTGCATAGCACCAGGCTTGTGGGGAGTTTGGGGAGCATTCAGCCTGCTTAGGAAGAAACAAAACATTAACTCCTCTAAAACAAATGTTACCCTTCTCTGTTTCAATTCCTGGGACTAAGAATTCTCAAGCCACTGGTCCTGGTTCCCCTTTGTGCAAGCAGCCAGATGTTCCTGGGAGTGATGGATCTTAATGTGCTCAGAAGTCTTGCAGAAGTCTTGCAGAAGTCTCTCAAGACCAAAGTAGGATATCTATTATTAAGGCATACGCACCCTTCTCCTATTTCAGTGCCATTTTCCACTTGTTAAGAGCAACCTGGTATGTGACATCCAGCATCCCTGATTTACACATTTGTCTGCTCCCTCCCCTTTCCATAATTCTACTCTGAGATTTGCTGCCCAGGCCTCAGAAAACACTGCTTCAGTACAATGGCTTAAGAAGAAAGGGTATCTCAGCCTGTCTGAATAGATGGTTTTCTCAGGTTCTCAACTTGAAAGCTTCTCTAACACTAACACCCTGTGAAGGCCTATCCCTTGCAAAAAATACTTTGAGCACAAAAGAGTCTCAATACAGTAACGTCCTGCTGCACCTGCCTGCCCCGATGTCCATGTTGCTTCTTCTATTAAAAAAAAATGTAAATGTTGTAGTACCCATTAGTTATATGGTTGTCAGCTGTTTTCTCAGCATGGGGCGGCTAACCAGTCTGCCTCCGTGACTTTGTTTCTTTAACACTTACTAGAAAATCTGATCTCAAAACATTTGAATTCTAAACATGTAAAATGTGACAGCCTGCAGTTTTGTAGGCAGTAAAGTCATGGCTGCTATTTATAAATGAAACGTATCAAAATAGTAACTGTAAAATGCAGTTTTTATAGGATTTTCCAAGGAAAAGTCCTTGGTTGAATGTTTCTCATTAAACTTTACAGAAGTGATTCATATTCAGTACTGTTTTTAATCACTTTTTACTTTAAGGACAGAATGTTTGCAAGGGCGCCAGAGTTTGTTAATAGTTTTTGTAAGACTCCAATAAAGCTAATTTGGAGGGTTCTGTGATCATATTATGTTGAAGAAGGGGGAAAAAAAAACACTGAAAGAATTTTAGCAATAATTGATCCAAAAAAAGATAGTTTCTAAATGATCTGTTCCAATTTCTATAGGTTCACGTTTCTTTCAACACTGATAACTTTACCATTTATAAAAAATAAATAGTGAAAGTAAGTTTGTCATATTTACTGACTTAGCAGTTTGATTGAGGATAACATGTATCTTGGCTCGTAGCTTCTGTGACTGAACTTAACCATTACTTATTTAGTTCTATTCAGCAGGGTTCTAGCCACAGTTTATATTGTTTCTCTGTAAAAGAGGCGATGGCCAACCACTTTGTGTTTGTATTTTCAGTCCTTTTTGGTTCTGCTCCTATGAAAG